GATGGGAATTTTGAAAGGAATCACCATATACTGCAAAGCCTTTTTTTGTGTGTTCTAAGCAGTATTATCCATGTAACATTGTTGCTCTGGATTTGAGTATTGCAGACAAATACCAAGAAATGAAGACAAAGTCAGAGATGCACCTGCTCTCATAGAATAATGTGACCTTTGCACTCTGGAAAGTTTAGCCCTGGAACATCTGTTGAGACTTCAGAATACATCTTTGTTTATCTGGAAAAAAACAGTCTCATGAAGTTTATTTTTTCAGTTATTTTTAAGCTATGTGATATATTTATATATATATTTTTAATTTTAGTGAATCACAAATACTTTGGTAATTAAGACAATATCACTGAATTAATATTGCACCATGGTATTGTGATATAGTTATATGTGTTATTATATGTGGCTATCACCATATGTAGAAATAACTATAAATGGGTATATCAGAGAGGAGTAAGCTAAAAACATACATTGTCCAATGTAGTACAACTTGTGAACTATGGTTAAATGGACACTGTAATCACCAGAACCACTACAGTTTAATGTCGTGGTATCTATAGCATGTTCATGCAGGCTGAACAGTATAAACATTGTTTAAATTACTGAATAGGAACGCCTTGCAGGCACTCAGATGACCATTAGAGGTGCTTCCTAGTCCAGTGCTGTACAGTGTGCAGCACAGGCATTCAGCGTCACCATGCTCTGCATGGAGGCCCTGAATATTCCCTGTAGAGTTGCATTGATGCAATGCATTTACTGTATATGATGAGATGCTGATTGCAGGCAGGGCCGTCTATAATATGATTAGGACCCTGGGCAATGCATTTTCTTGGGCCCCATGGGCCCTGTCCCTGCCACTGCCTCACCCCCCAATTACGTACAACCCGCAATCACACTGACAGACGTACTAGCACATACACACACAGACAGACATTAAAACATTCACAGATACATACTGACACACAAAGTCACTACACACAAATATATACTGGCAGACATACTGACACACACACAGACATACATACATACACAGACACATACATTAACAGATATACTGACACACACACAAACACATACACTGACAGATATACTAAAACACACAGACACATATACTGACAGACACATTGACACACACACACAGGCATACTGACATATACACACACACACACACACAGGCATACTGACATATACACAGACAGACGTAATGGCTGATACAGACAGACATTAAACATTCACAGATATATACTGACACACACATACACTGACATACAAATATATCCTGGCAGACATACTGACACACAGACATACATACATACACACACAGACACATACACTGACAGACATACTGACTGACACACACATACACACACAGACATACTTACATACACACACAGACATACTGACACACAAAGACATGCTGACACACACACACAAACATACTGACATACAGACAGACGTACTGGCACATACACACAGACAGACATTAAAACATTCACAGATACATACAGACACACATATACACTGACACACAAATATATCCTGGCAGACATACTGACACGCACGTACACACACACACACAGACATACCTACATACACACACACAGACATACTGACACACACACACACATACTGACATACACACACAGACATACTGACACACACACACAGACATACTGACACACACACAGACATACTGACACATACACACAGACATACTGACACATACACACACAGACATACTGACACACACACACAGACATACTGACACACACACACACAGAGATACTGGCATACACACACAGGCATACACACAGACATACTGACACACACACACACACACAGACATACTGGCATACACACAGACATACTGACACACACACACAGGTATACACACACTGACACACACACACAGACCTACTGACATACATTTAGCCACCCTCCAGGTTCTCACCTTTTCCTGGAGGGTGGTTTCCCTGGTCCAGTGGCAGGCTGAGGCAGATGGGAGTTCTCTTCTGGAACTCCCCTCCTCCCTGCTCCCGCGCGGCTATCTCCGGTGGGAGGAAGTGACGTCACTTCCTCCCAGCCGGCTGCAGAACCGGAAGAGGGGCCCGGTCGCGCTGTTTAAGCGCCACAGCGCCCGACCGGGCCCCTGCTGACACATGCTCCCTGGGTGGCCCTTAGTGCATGGGCCACCCGGGGAGACTCCTCAGTGTGCAGGAGCCACCGCGCAGGGGCTGCGCAAATCGCGGGGCCCACAGAGCAGCTGCTCTGGGCCCCCAGGAGCAACTGGGCCCGGGGCAGCTGCCCCGTTTGCCCCGCGTTAAAGATGGCCCTGATTGCAGGGCCAGTGCTACCATAAGGCAGCACAGGTGGCCTCCTTTGGGCACAACGGCCAGGGGGGGCTCAGTATACAGGCTAGCAGGAGGAGAGTACACTGCACAGCGCTCTCCACACAGAGTAAAAAAATGCTTTTTTAAACTGATTCTTCATGTTCATTGATGCTATACCCTGCCTGCAACATTACTACTGCCACACACAGGGTTCACTTGTGCAGTAAACTGCAGTCACACACTGTATGTATTAGTGAGAAGAAGTTTGTAATTTGCAAAGCACATGCAGCGGCACAGAAGCACACTGCAAATCAAATCCACCTCTTACTAGAATTAGCACCTTAGCAGCTGAAGATATATAGAGCATTCTATGCTTTCCTACAAAAGAAGGGCTTTAACATTGCTAGGATGGCATAGCATTCCCTAATGATTGTGAGCTTCCTGAAGCCAGCATAATTGCCCTCCTCAGCGATCAGGACAACAGCAAGAGCCCCCCTGCAGCCAATCTCACTTATCCAAGTCATGTGATCTCCATGACAGCACAATTATGGTACAATAATAACTAAGTATACATTTAGCATTACATTACATTTTAATGTATATCTATTATTATCAAAATACACTTAAAATTAATGAATATATATATATATATATATATATATATATATATATATATATATAACAAAAATAGTAATGCACTCCACCTTCCTTGATGTACTTGCCCGGTGCTTATCAGCAAACAGATACAGCCAAAAGTACAAGATAGCACTCCAGGGACTTCCAAGTTGAATGAATAAAACTTAGCTTTTATTAGCTCAAAATAAAAATTTGTACTTTTGGCTGTATATATATATATATACAGTTGCAAGAAAAAGTATGTGAACCCTTTGGAATGATATGGATTTCTGCACAAATTGGTCATAAAATGTGATCTGATCATCATCTAAGTCACAACAATAGACAATCACATGTTTTTATTGAACACACCATGTAAACATTCACAGTGCAGTTCACTGAATGATTTTTAGTTCACTGAATGATGATTAGTTCAACTGCTCCTGTCCAAACTACCGCTATCAACTACTGACACTGTCCTCACCATTCCCCCTGCTCTGCCTTATGGTAATGGAGGTAAGTCTTGTGGCAGATTGTGACAACTGTGCGGAATCAGATACAGCCATGAATCTGAAGCCTAATATTTTCTTGTTCTGCTTCCATCAATAATACAGATATGTGGTAACTTTTGGCCTTCTTGAAGGATCAGCAACAAAGTTTGCTTTGTTGAATACATCAGCCCCCACTCGTTTGCCCTTTTCAAGATACCAGTGGATTTTCATCATTGGCAGTGGAAGCTACTGCAACACTTGTCTTTACAATAGCATTTGGTTAATCAATCCCAAGGAAATGTTGATTATTCCTGTACTGATGATGGTGGTGGTGGTATTGGTGATGGTAGTGGTGGTGTTGGTAACATTGATAGTATTTAACAACTTGTGCTAGTAGTAGCAGGTGCAGCTGATGTTACAACTGTCTCTATTGTAACATCAGCAATTCTAAACATACTTTGGACTTTGGACTTGGAAGTGGTGGAGAAGATGCAGGAGAGGAGTGCCCAATAGCTCCCAGGAAAAATACTGGGTTGCTTCCTGTTCTCTACACATTCTCCTTTACTTATTCCTCTAGCTCATCATACTCATAGTTGAGAAACTCCTGGGCCAGAGGTAAAAGTGCTATGTCTACAGTGGTGTGGGGAACAGAATTCTCATCACCGCCAAACCACCAACAACAGACATTAAGACATTACTTTGGTATCTTATGAGCTCCACAAAGTAGACTCTGCTGAACTTTGGTTAGTTGCTTTTCAGTGGGTCAGTAAGAAGATATAGTGCTTAAACTAGGTGTGATAGAAGGAGCTACAGTACCAGTGGAAGCAGGGCCGGACTGGGACAAAAATTTGGCCCGGGCACTTAAAGACAGAGCAGCCCATTAGGAGGGGCAAGGCCAGAAAGGGGGCATGTTTTGTTATCACCATTGAGAAGCACGTCCCCCTCCTACCACAACAAATGAGTATGTTATGAGTAGGAGAGGAGTGATGCCCCTCCAGAGTAGTGTGCATATAAGGGTATAGAGTGTATGTAGTGTGTTTGTGCATTAGTGCAGGGGCTATAATGTGCATATATATGGGTAGAAAGTGTGTGTGTTAGTGAAGGGGCTGTAGTGTGTGTATATAGGGGTGCAGAGTGTGTGTAGTGTGTTAGTGCAGGGGCTGCAGTTTGTATATAGGGGTATAGAGTGTGTTTAGTGCCTTAATTAGTGTGTATATAGGGGTATAGAATGTGTGTAGGGGTATTTTTGTGTTAGTGCAGGTGCTGTAGTGTGTATATAAGGGTATAGAGTGTGTGTGTGTGTGTGTGTGTGTGTGTTAGTGCAGGGGCTGTAGTGTGTATATCTGGATATAAAGTGTGTGAAGTGTTTGTGTGGTAGTGCAGGGGCTGTAGTGTGTGTGTATATATGGGTATAAAGTGTGTGAAGTGTTTGTGTGTCAGTGCAGAAGCTATAGTGTGTGTATATTGGTTTAGAGTGTGTATAGTGTATTTGCCTGTTAGTGCAGGGGCTGCGATGTGTGTATATGGGGTTAGAGTGTGTATAGTGTGTTTGTGTGTTAGTCCAGGGGCTGTGATGTGTGTATATGGGTTTAAACTCTAAACCCATATACACACACCACAGTCCCTGCACTAACACAAAAGCACACTCTAAACTCATATACACAAACCACAGCCCCTGTAGGGGTTGTGGTCTGTGTTTATGAGTTCAGACTGTATATAGTGTGCTTGTGAGTAAGTATGAGAGGGTGTGTGGATTTAGTTAGTATACAGTAATTTAATAATTTAAAAAATAAAAAAAATAAAAAAAAATTCTCCCCCTACACCTTATTAGCTTGCAGGGGGTGAGTGGGAGCATGCAGATCCCTGGTGGTCCAGTGAGAGGGAGCATGCCGCAAGGTAATCCCTGGTGGTCCAGAGGGAATGTTATTTCGTCTGTACAGACCATGTGTCTGCCTCTCGGGAGCACCGATTTTTCAAAGCGTTTCTATGGATTACCATGGAAACGCTCTGATAATATCGGCGCTCGTGAGAAGACACACTGCAGCACACACTTTACTAAACACACAAAAAAACAATTTCTTCTTCCAAACAAAACCAAACAAAAAAAAACAACATAAAAACTGTCAATTAATAAATTAGTGATTTCAAGCTGGTGTTACGTAGCAATGGCTAGCAATGCAACCCTACATTAACCAAACAAACAGTTACACACTAGGATGGGTAAAACTGGCTATCACTACCACTCAAAATGTGTTTGATTGCCAATAGGCAAGAGAAATGTTTTTCTTCTTCTTTTTGTTTTTTACTGACCAACACACTAACCCCCAAAAAGGATTATCTTTCTACAAATATAAAAAAAAAAAAAAAAACTTTTAACAACTGTATATTGGTAATTATAAATTGGTGTAAATTGGCCAAGGCTAGCAGGGTAATTCAGGGTTGGTGCAAGGATTTTTGCTGCCCTAGGCAAACAAAAATTAACCCCCCCATATGTTCTGCCCATCATGTGACATCACAATGCCTCACCCATATGATCTGCCGTATGGGCCAGCACCAGTGCTGCACACAGTTTCTTTTATATACAAAACAGAAAATCTAGCAGCTGGGCAGCCATTACTGCCCAGTTGCTAGAAAGGGCCCATTCCATGGGCATGAGTTTAGCAAAATTATTGGGGCACATAGTCTCCCCATCCCTCCCAGTAGGCATTGAGTGTTGGACTTAACATTAAATAATAGCCCCACTATGTCACATTGGTGTGGGATATTAAATAAATTTAAAAAGTGGGGGTCAGCTATTAGTGGATTGGACAACATACTAAACAGGACTACCTATTGTTCCCCCGTGACCCACCTATAGTTGATGCCTGGAAGCTCTAATTATATTATAAAGGAAGCTACCTAGTATCCAATTGTCCCACACTACAGTCACCTAGTGGTCCCCAATACCCTAGTTACCCCATTTAAATTAAGTTAACTCTACCTACCCCCATCCTAATATTAGTAAGGGTACTGTAACGGAATGCCTGGCACCCCGACTGGGTACTTTCCGTTGACGGATGCTCCTAGTGCTTCCTGAGGGCGCCAAGCACTCCACTAGACACCATAACCACTGCAGACCCCATGAACTGCCGCAGCTTGGTTGGGGTATCGCCGTCTTCCACCCACTCTGGACCCAAGACCAGGATACAGCTTCCAGTAGGTAGACCTCTCTTAGAATCCAGAGAGCCGGAACAGGAACAGGCTCTTACAAGAGCATACTATGGGGAGTATAGTGATTATAGCAATCCCCAGTGTGTAGGTAGTTCTCCAATCCCCCAAACATGAGCCAAGAGTTCATGAAGGGTAGAACAGGTCTGTTTAATGAGCAAAAAGGCATTTCTTTTATATACATTTTCCCCACAAGGTTACCACCCATGTGGACCTTGTGGAGCACAGGACACAAAAGACACAAACCAATCAACACAGTATTGTATTGTATTGTAGACACTCCCAGCTAATGTACACAAACTCAATTACCACAGGCAGAAAATATCAATTTTTACCCAAAGTTCAGAAACACCCCAAAACAACAATATATTCCCATAAATCCTACATCACTAGATAGCCCTGATATATCCAAAACATATACAACATATCCAACATATCCAAAAATCACCCAGATGAGGGCAGGCGTTCGAAAGTTTTATGGAAGTCACATTTGACCAACCGCAAGCATGGCTTTCATGCCCAAAACAGTTCCACAGATTTAGGCTGTGTGGCCGGTCTATCTTCTCCTCTATCCTGGAGATAATTGGCTTAAGTGGCGGTGGTAACTTAATTATCTCCAGGTACAGGAAATATCTCTAAGTCATAAACTGTTACAAAAACCACATAAAAATACATAACTCTTATAATACAATATTTAACCTATATGTCCAACATATCCCCAGATTGCTAGGATCTGAGCGCTCAATATGTCCAATGTTAAAAGTGCCCTATAGTGCAAGGAAGGGTGAGGTCAGAAAATAGCAAGAGCTGATGGGAGATTGAGGAGGGACAAACCAGCCAGTTTAAACGCCCTGCTGGAGGAACAATAGGACAGGAAAAAGTAGGAGGGGAAGAGGCACATTTTCCCAGGGATTTAAAGGGGCAGAAAATGTGTTTTAAAAGCCAATAAGCTCAAATAGCATTAAATGCCAATACCTCCCATGGGCCATAGTCACAGGGAAGGAGGCTGGCAAGCAGGCCTCTTCAAAAGCCAGTGGTGATGGGCAGTTCATCACAGGTACATTAAAATTATACCTGTAAATAAAATAAAATAATAATAATATTTGTCATTAGAATTCTATTTTGTAAACCTTCTTTTCTTCAACCTCAAAAAGGCCAAGTTAGAAAATCATGATAATGCAATGCACATATTAAAAAAATACCCCACCAAATTCACAAGAAAATGCTTTTCCACACCTTGAATTCTCATTAGAGCACTCTGTCCAATCAGAGCCCTAAGACAGGCAAGTCTCACTTCACTTGAGATTTCCCTGAGAACATTACCTATAGTTCAGTTTTGAACAATCTGGGTCTGGATAAGCTGTCAGGCAACAGCTGTCAGACTAAAATCCGGTCCAAATTTAGGCTTATTTTAGATCTGCTGTGCAAAATCCAGACTTTTTAAACTATTGTGAACAATGTCTGGATTTTGCACGTAACATACACAAAACAAAACATTTAACAATAGCATATTGGTAACCTAGTCTCACACTAGTATCAATGACAAAATGCCAACCTCCTATCTCCCACTCAACATTGTTTCAAGTGCCCCTGGCAAAAGCTAGCTATGTACAACAGAAAGCTAAATCCAGTCTCATTCTAGAAGCAATAGCCTGGGCTATCTCCCACTCCCACATAGGCAGAGCAAATGTAACACTCAAGGGTTACCCTCGCACTTCACAAAATACTTGCAGTAAGAATTAAAATAGCTAAACATTTGGAATTCACCATCAACACGAATTATCGACATGCTACAATCAACAAGAAGGGATGAAAAAAATGGCTTACAAACCTGTGTACACCACTGTAAAATTCCTAAAATTGTGGTTGCCCTGGGACCATAGATGCCGGTTCAACCAAACAGATCCCATAGGCTCCACACCCCCTCCCCCTGCTCTCTCCACCCCACCCCCTTATTAACCAAATTTGCACGTTATCTTCATCTCCCATTCATAAGCTCATTAGGACAAAAGGGACCTGCAAAGAGGGCTCAACAAAATACAACATCACAGTCCTACCAAATATAAAACTGTTGTCAAACATTTTTGAAAGTTATGTTATGACTTGTGAAAATTACTTTGTCTAGCAAACTTTAAATATATTAATACATTTGTATAGGGGTATGTTTCTACCATTTCTGCATGTATGCCTTGTTTTATGAAACTCGAATAAAGATGACACATGGAAAAAAGACATTCAAGGTTTATTCATTAAAGTGAGAATTTAAAGTGAATGCAAAGTGAATTTCTAGATTAAAGAGGCACTCCACTGCACAAATAAACAATATGAAAATAAGTAACTGTTTAGTAGATATGCCACCAATTAAAAATTGTATATATTTAATTACGCATTTTTTCTTCAGTGGGGCATATTTAAATTTTTTTGCAAACACAGTAAATCTCTTGTCTGCAGCCTCTGCAAGCCCTCCCCTTCTAACCCCTTCCAGACTTTCTGTGTCTTTGACAGGTGCCCTGGGCAATTGCTTCCTCTTGAGTTTAGTTCTACTGAGCTAATCCACCAGGAAGTTACAGGACCTTTTATCTAATTGCCAGCTAGGGGATTGTGACAGGGTTAATTTATAAGTGTCAGTTTTTTATTGAAATTTTCACTTTTTGTAAAAAAAGAGAACACACTCTTCACTCATAAGGCACTTTAGCAAGCTAAAGTATTTTAGGGGTCCAAAGTTTTTCAGTTTGGCAACTCTGACCTTAAATTTTAAATTCAAATACATTACTCTGGCATCCTCCATTTTCAGTACTTCCCTACCCAGAGCAGTGGAGTAGCTACCACGGTGGCAGGGGATGCAGCAGTGACCAGGCCTCTCATCCCCTGCCATCTACCGCTACTGCTGCTACCGCTGCGACTGCTGCGACCGCTGCGATCACTGCGACCATGGGCCACTGGCATACCTTTAGGGATGGTGCACTGCTGCACCAGCCCAGGGTTCGCACTCCCAGGCTGAGTGGCAGGAGGGGAGAGATGTGCTGCTCCACTCCTGCCTGTGTCTAGTGCAGCTGAGCGGTCTGCCAGCTACTGTGACTGTGGCAAACAGGTACAGGAAGGGGGGGAGGAGACACATGGAGGGGCTCCAGGGGAAGTGGAGGAGAGAGACATATGGAGAGGTTCCAGGGGATCGAGGACACATATGGAGGAGCTGCAGGGGAGGTGAGAGGGAGAGACATATGCAGGGGTTGCAGGAAAGGGGAAAAAGACAAATAGAGAGCCTGTACGGGTGGTGGGTGGTAGAGAAAAATGGAGGGGATGCAGGGGGGAGAGAGACATATAGGGGCTGGGGGAATGAGACTTTAGGGGGAATGAGTGCTTGGTGGGAGGAAATATGATATTTGAGGGGGAAATGAGACACATGGAGCAGCTGGGGG